ATTCATATAAACTACATGATATCACAAAAAATATTAAAAAACAAGGTCGTCTACATCATATTGGTGAGCACGATAATTATCGTTTAAATTCTTTATAACGAATCGGTATCAATAAATAAAAATATGAAATCGCGTCGTAATTTTTGATTTCAAAATTTTAAAATTATACTTAACCATTGTCACTTGTATTTAATCTCTTCACAATGGAAGTTATACAAGAATTGATTAACGAACATCATTATCATTATTAAATGATAAATACCAACAAGTAGCGTATAAATTTACTAATGCTAAATTTGAAATCTATCCAGTATCCTTCATTATATCATTCCTTTCCTTTTTTTTAAAAAAAAATCGCAACTTTGCATTACGTAATACATTCAATCTAGATCTCTAATAATTTATTTTTCGATCGATATTTAAAAATTCGATTCTGTGAATTTCTGATCATGTAAGAAGTATAGTTGAAGCTAATTATCAATTGATACGTCAATGATTCGACCACTAAATTAAAAATAAATAAAATAATGAATAATTTTTTTTTAATTCATACAATCCACCTTTTTACAATCAAAGATACTTCTAAAGGTATATCATCATGAGTGTGATTATTTACTTTTCTCCTTAATAATTGAAACCATCGTTGGAATCTCTATCAGAATTGTCAGAATTACCAAAAAAACTTTCCAGGCTTTATCGCAGCAAACGTAACAGATATCTAAAGCATTCAACTAATCTGAATTAAATAAAATAAGTTATTGATTAAGCTTAAATGTGGTTTGAAAATTTCATATAATTAATACCTATGAAGATTAGTCATATTCTTTTGCACATTGCGAAGTAGAATTTCCACGTAACATCCTACTTCCAAGAATTCGAAGCGATGCAACTAGCACATAATGTCTCTCTCTCTAAATATAAATAAAAAAGAGTAATTATAAATTATTAATCTAATGAGATTGAAATGTTATTATTGTTCAATCACACACCAATGATGTCTCTAAATAATCACTCAAGTAAATTATTTTTAAAATTGCATTGATCAATAAAGAAATTCTTCAAATTTAGAGGGAAAATTATCAATGCCATTTGTTATGTCTTTAGATACGTTAAAAGAAGCTTCACCATTGTTATCATCATCTAAATCATCACTCGAGTCGTTATTTCTGATTTCGTTTCAATTTTGCTTGAAATCTGGAGTACTTGAAAAGGCTTAAAAACAGAATTAATAGTACATGTATCATTAACGGTTCACTTGCTAATTATCGTTCATATTCATTTGTGCTTTCCTTTTAGTTAATATGAACTAGTTCAATTTCAAAGTTTGCGATCACGTGATGCATAATTTGTATATACATAAACCTTACCTTTACTTTATTAATGCAATTGAAGAACCAGAAACTTGAACGTAATTATGAAATCTGAATTTTGAAAAGAGACTTGGGTTAAAATCCATATACAGTATATAAATCTTAAAAATTATACTTTTCTGTCGGAATATTCCAGAAATTTCGTAATTATGATTGTTTATAGGATCACATGATTTTGCCATATTTAGAACCATTTATATATTACTCTCAAAAGCTTACCTTTTTCCCACGACGAACAACAAACAACTATTTCGACAAGAATAAAAATTAAAAAATGTTTTTAGTGATATCTTATATTTTATTAGACACTTATACGAATTTTTACTTTTAACCTGCAAAAGTTGTTGTCCAAAACGATATATAGTAAGGTATTTGATTTTTGTTAATTTTATTTTTTAATTTTATTTTATATATTTTATTTCCTTTTTTTTTCCTTTATTTTCTTATATAAGCTATGTAGCGGCTGGAGTTCGACGTGGAGGTATCAGCAATATTTGCAGCCGTTTTGGGCTTCAAAAAGGTGATTCGGGAAGGAGTTCGATGATATATAATGTTTCTTATAATTATATTCTTGCAGTTATTATTCTTGAAGATTCTATTTTTTTTTAAGGTGAGAATGCGCTGTCTTTAGACGGTTTTAATGATACAACTCACAGTCAATATTCGTATCGAGTTGTTGGTCATAGGAGGTATCTTGCCCTATGCATGCTTTAAGGGTTAAGGACTTATATTGTCGTAAAATTTAGATACCAATTTTCATACTTTTGTATATGCTCATACTATGACTAACTCTTGCCAACACTTTTTATCATTTTTATAGGTTACTACTACAAGTCACTACAAGCCATTATAAAGGTTCTCTAAGAAAAATTATTACCAAGAAGTTGATCGTTTATAATTTTTTATATGCTGTATATATATGTATATATAATAATAATAATAATAATAATAAATATTATTTTGCTATAAATTATTTTATTTAAATAAATGATAAATATAAATTCTGATGTTAAGAAAAAAAATAAATTTCAAAGTTATTATTAAATTTTTTCTCTATCGAAACCGTCGAAACTTTCGAGACCCATCGACTATCGAAACCCATCGGACCCATCGAAACTTCGAGAAAAAGTTTCGACTTTCTCAAAATGGATTTATGGTTTTGCCCGCAACTATAGATGGAATCAATTCGATTAATTGAAAATCGATTAATTAAAAAAAAGTCGAATCTATTTTTAATGTCGTAGTAAGTGCGGCTATAATAAAAATCGGGAAGCATAAGACGTTTGTCAACTTACCCGCTTTCCACACGCTTTATAATTTCATTTCATTTGCGATATATTTATTAGATTTGAGAAAAATAATGGCGGAATGATGAAAAAAAAAATAAAAATGATAAATCATGTGTGAAAAAAATCCGATCAAACCAGAAATGAAAAAAATAAAAGCTAAAATAAACTAAAAAATAAACACATACCTTTTAACGCGTACTCTATCGCTGTCTCAAATTGAAGACCCAAAAGTTTATAAAATTAATAAAAATAAAAATGAAACGATATCGCGTAATTCCAAAAAAAAAAAAAAAAATTCGGAAAATTTAATAAGAATTATAATTTACCAGCATTAGTTCGGGCAAATAAATTTTTAAATTCTCGTAACCCACCCGTATCAGTTTTTTAAAAACTTGAAAAAAAATATTAATAGTTATATTATATCTTTTAATCGTTACAAGATAGGTACGCGTAAAATATAAATAATAGCGTAAATGCATTTGTAAATTTTTTTTTTATAAATTAAATTTTTAATCTTTTTTATGGTGATTGTCCGCGCGATATAAATAAGATCGAAAATTCAAGAACGATTAATCATGATTAATCACTTTATTAATTCCAACCCTTAGTCCCATATTGCTTAAATTATCACTTGGGATATCCAAAACAACCACTTCAAATGTTTTAAATGGGTAGATATTCCAAATTAACCCAACATTTCTAAAAAGTATTTAATTCCTAATTAATTTGTGTTCATTTGGGCAAAGTGGTCCTTTGAGACAGATCGATGTGGAATTTGGATAACTCAAGTTAATAGTTGGAATTAATTCATTTTGAAACAGGTGCACATCCAAAATGAAATTCGTGTTTGGTATCAAAAATTATCAATTCGGACATTAACGAATTTGAGCTACAAAAATCAAATTAAAGCTTATTTAAAGTATGACTTGTACAGCACTTTAATTATTTTATTAGCTAGTTGTATAATAAACTTAACAACATTTATTTATTTAAAATTACAATTTCAAATTTCGTTAAGTTTAAATTTTTTTTAATTAATACATTTGGATATGTTATATGGTCTGTAAAGAAATAGTTAATTATCCATCTTTTCTAAATTATAAATTGTAAAATATAGTATATTGATAATACGAAACAGAAAAATAAGTGAATAATTAGTTAAGTATCATAATTAATCAAAATTCTGAAAACGGTAATTAATTATTTAAAGGTCAGTATAATGAAATCAAAATAAACCCTATTGGTATTTGCTTAACACGTTACTGATTCTGAGAAGTAAAAATATTCAACATGTACCGCAAAATTCATTTATAAATCTAAAATCACCTTTTTTTTATATACTTATTTTTTAAAAAAAGCTTGATTTAAGAGATTAAAACTGCCTTTGCTATTAATATCTTTGATTCTCGCTGAAACTAATTTATAATAAAGAAACTAAAAAGCAATAAATTAATTAATAAATAAAAGATTAAATTTAAATTAATAAGTTTGTGATTTATACGATCAAAATTTAGATAGGCAAACTTACCATCTAATTCATCATAGGTAACATATTGGATAGAATCTCCAACTTGTAAATCAGGATCAGAAATATTATTCGTATGTTCTGTAATTATGTCTATAAATTGAAAAAATTAATTAAAATTATATAAATTATAGAGAAAAAGTTTAATATAAACATTTACTTTTGGTAGTTTCATCGTCAATCTTTCTTCCAAAGCCCATCTTCAAAAAATTTTTCAATACTTCTTTAATAATTGGTCTTTGCTCAGGTTCCTGTTTCCAACATTTTTTATAAAGTTTTTCGTAATCCTCAGGTGTATCCGCTATAGTAGTTTCACGAGTTTCATGACAAGTAATAGCAATAAGAAGGTCTTGATTACTATTAAACTTATCTTTAAATGGAGGATGTCCGCTAGAAATTTCCCACATGAATACGCCAAAACTATAAATATCTGAAGGCTTAATATATTGAAAATTTTGATCAGAAAGTATTTGTGGTTCCATATAGGCGGCTTTACCAAAAAGTCCAATATGCATCGTGGAATTATCTTCAACTTTTGAAATGCCAAAATCTGTAATTTTAGCATTATCTTCATGAATAACTATATTCTTAGAGTGCTAAATTAAATTAAATTAAATCATTAGCAATTTTACATAAATTTTACCAAATATTTACAAGATCTCTGTGTAATACATCCTCGTTATGTAAATAATTTATTCCATCTGCAATTTGAAAAGCTAATTTTTTTTTATCATACAAGATAACTTTTCAAAATTATTCTCAAAGTAGCTTTGAAGATTACCACTATTTGCATATTCCATTACAGAATATAGTTCATTTGAGTTTGGATCTAATAAACAATTTTTAAATTAGTAAATCAAAAATTCCTTTATTAATATATAATTAACTTATGAAATTACCTTGACTAATACCTAAGAAACGTATAATACGATTACTATAATTAAGGTGCAAATGTATTTTTAACTCATAAATAAATACGCCTAATTTATCATCATCACATTTAAATATACTTGTATCAGTTAATCTTTTACAGACAGCATAATTATTTGTTTTTGACCAAGTTGCTTTTATGATACTACCAAAGCCGCCTTCATCAAGTGGTTCTAAATCAATTAACTCATCATAATTTATGACTTTAACTTTATTATTTAACTTGTTATTGATCAATTCGAACATATTACTATTAACTTCATTTTTATTAAATTTAAATATATTAGTATAAATAATAAACTTGTAAAATAATTAAATTATTAATTCTATAAACATACTTTTAATCGGTTTATTTATAAAGCTCATCTTTGAGAATTCTTCCAATATTTCTGTAATAGTTGGTCTTTTCTCAGGTTCTTGATCCCAACATTTTTTATAAAGTTTTTCATAATCCTTAGGAGTATCTGGTATAGTATTTTCACAAGCTTTATTAATAATAATAGCACAAATAGTTGCATCATTAAATTCTTTAAATGGAGGATATTCACTAGAAATTTCCCACATTAATACACCATAACTATAAATATCCGAAGGCTTAATACACTGAAAATGGTAATTGCAAAGTATTTGTGGCTCTATATAAGCAGTTTTACCACAAGGTCCGATATGTGTAGTAGAATTATTTCCAAATTTTGAAATACCAAAATCTGTAATTTTGGCATTATTGTTGTGAATAAGAATATTCTTGGAATGCTTAAATAAAATTATATAATTTTAAAAAATTTTTTATAATAAATATAGACAAACATAACATAACAAATAAAACTTACAAAATCTCTATGTAAAATATCTTCATTATGCAAGTAATTTAATCCATTTTCAATTTGAATAGCTAATTTTTTTTTATCATACCAAGTTAAATTATTAAAATTATTTTTAAGATAATTTTGAAGATCGCCACCATTAGCATATTGCATTACAAGAAGATATTCATTTGTAGTATTTGGATCTGTAATTAATAAACTAATAAACAATTATTTTTAAAAAAAAACAAATAAATATATATTAATTAATAGTTACCTTGACTAATATCTAAATAATGTATAATTTGATTACAATAATTAAGATATAAATGAATTTTTAATTCATAAATAAAAGCATCTAGCTTAATAGTATTTATATTTGTCAATCTTTTAAATACAATAAAATCACCAGTTTTTAACCAAGTTGCTTTTATAATACTTCCAAAACCATCTTTATCAAGTAGCTTTAAATTAATAAACTCATTAAAGAATATAAATTTAACTTGATATTTTAAAATTTTATTAATAAATTCATTAGCATTATTATTTTGATTAATATTTTGAATATTATCTTTATATTTTCCAAAACTCCTTTCTGATTTATTCTCATTTTTTACTAATCTTTGATGCCATTTATATGCTTTTTTTAAATCTATATTAATTCCTATCCCATTTATATAATATTTAATTATATTAAATTAAGCATCTTTATTTTCATTTTTTGCTGATTTTTGATACTAATAAAATGCCAATTTTAAATCTTCTTTAATTCCAATACCTTTTTCATAAAAATGACCTAATTTGTATTGTGCAATATCATTCTCATTTTCTGCTGATTTTTGATACCAATAAAATGCTTTTTTTAAATCTTTTTTAATAAAAATACCTTCTTTATAATAAAATCCTAAATTATATTGTGCAAATTCATTTTTATTTTCTGCTGATTTTTTATACCATATAAATGCTTTATTTATATTTTTTTCAATACCTAAACCATATCGATAACAAATAGCTAAATTACATTAAGCAATATAATTTTCATTTTTTGCTGATTTTTGATACCAATAAAATGCCTTTTTTAAATTTTTTCTACATTTATACCTTTTTCATAAAAATATCCTAAATCATTTTGTGTTTTATTATAATTTTACTCAGCTGATTTTCTATACCATTCAAATGATTTATTAACATCTTTTATAATAAATATTCCATAATAATAATAATTACCTAAATTATATTGTGCAACTTTATTATTATTTATTGCAGCTTTTTGATACCAATCAAATGCCTTTTCTAAATTTATATCTGTTCCTTTACCATTTTCATAACATAAGGCTAAATTAAATATTGCCTTAAACTGACTATTATCTGCAGAATTTTGATACCAAAAAAATGCTTTTTCTAAATTTACATCTGTTCTTTTGCCATTTTCATAATATAAGGCTAAATTATTCATTGCATTAGCATCTTTATTTTTTGCAGCTTTTTGATACCAATAAAATGCTCTTTCTAAATTTACATCTGTGCCTTTACCATTTTTATAACATAAGGCTAAATTATTCATTGCATAAGTATTTTTATTTTTTGCAGCTTTTTGATACCAATAAAATGCTCTTTCTAAATTTATATCTGTTCCTTTACCATTTTTATAATATAAGGCTAAATTATTCATTGCATTAGCATCTTTATTTTTTGCAGCTTTTTGATACCAATAAAATGCTCTTTCTAAATTTAATTCTGTTCTTTCATCATTTTCATAACTTATAGCTAAATTAATCATTGCATTAGTATATCCATTTTCTATAGCTTCTAAATTTACATCTGTTTCTTCATCATTTTTATAGCTTATAGCTAAATTAAACATTGCCTTAACATGATTATTTTCTGCAGCTTTTTGAAACCAAAAAAATGCTTTTTTTAAATTTATATCTGTTCCTTTACCATTTTTATAACTTATAGCTAAATTAAACATTGCATTATTATAATCATTTTCTGCAGCTTTTTGATACCAATAAAATGCCTTTTCTAAATTTACATTTGTTCCTTTGCCATTTTCATAACATAAGGCTAAATTAAACATTGCCTTAACATGATTATTATTTGCAGTATTTTGATACCAAAAAAATGCTTTTTCTAAATTTAATTCTGTTCCTTTACCATTTTCATAACTTATAGCTAAATTAAACATTGCTTTAGTATATCCATTTTCTGCAGCTTTTTGATACCAATAAAATGCTCTTTCTAAATTAACATCAGTTCCTTTACCATTTTTATAGCATAAAGCTAAATTAAATATTGCATTAATATTTTTATTTTCTGCAGCCTTTTGCAACCAATAAAATGCTAAATCTTTATTAATTTCAATACCAAATCCTTCAATATAACATTTACTTAAATATACTTGTGCAATAGGATATCTTTCAGCTGCTTTTAGAAAGTATATGAATATATCACTATTATTTTTATCTAAGTTGAACATATTGTAATAAGAAAAAATTCCAAGAAAGAAAATATTTTTTGATTCATTTTGATTTTCCTTAAGCCAGTTAAAAATATCTTCAGCTGATTGTGTAGAAAGGGTAATGCATTTATTAAGAAAATGTTTCGTTTCACTGAAATTTTTGCCTTCATTTTGTATTTTTCCAAGAGTATAAATAATTTATCAACTAAAATGTTCATATTATCTGTTGAATTAGTCATTTCTGATATGTATAGGCATTCATCATGTTTTGTTTCAATTTTTGTCATACTTGTATTTTAAATTTAAATAAATGTGTTTCATTATATAAGGTGAATTCTCTCTCTGGTTTACGGAAAATTAAGGAATAAAGGTTTGTCAAAACTGAAATTTTGGGAATATTTCTCCGTACTGAGGTTACATAATTCCAAAATAATGTTTATTTATGCACATTGTGCTATGTACATCATGACATCACATGCATGCATCGCGCATATCAGTTACTTGTAGAATTGTGGCGTTTTTTGCTAAAGAAATTATTGATCAAATTTTAGATAATCAGACATTTTAGGACGTTTTCTTGGTCATCTCTTTTATATTGGATATGTAAAAAAATTAATGGAGATGAGGAGTTCCAACGACTTTAAATCTTCTAATTCCCATTTAACTGACTAAATAAAAAAACTTTGCAAATAGCATGACAAGAGGTCAAATTGTGATGACATTATAATTATTATTTTATTTTTATTTTATTATTCTTATTATTTCTTTATAGATGCGTTAATAAAAAATCTTCTGAACAAAATTAAAGAATGTTTTCGTTAATATCTCCATATATATGACAATTAATTGTCACCCAAACGAATGAAAAGTCAATTGATGCATTATTCGGAAAATTTAATTCGCAACCAATTGTTCTAGAGAATAAAAAGTAAATTACTGTGGTCACGTACTGCGGAGATCGGCAATTATACCATGTGCATTTGTAACAAATCTTATATATAGGTTGACTCAGAGTCGGTTCATAAATTCAAAATATTCTGGGTTTTCCTGAATTATAAACCATTTTTTTACCAATTTTAAAACCAACCGAAACCGACTCCGGACCGGTTCCAAGGGTCGGATTTTCATCAAATTAAAGATAGTAATAGTCAAAATTTTTAAATTGATCAACATCACATGCTGTAAATTTAAAATTTAACCTAACGCTTAAAGTTATAATTTACTTAGCATTAAAAAAATATTTGATTTTCAATAATCATCTCATCAAAATAAGAAGATTGCTTGATCATGTAAAAATTTGCATTTAAATCTTTGACCTGGCGTATATATTTAACCAAAATGCTAATTATTTATTATTTTCATTCATGTAAATATCACTATTAGATCCAATACGATGGTACAGACTTATATCGTAAATTTCGTATCATTACCTTACCGGTACTATTCTTTCAATTTAGAGAAAAGAATTCGAATATCGCGCTAATAACAATATCGTACTTATAATCAATCTTTTGCAAAGACTATAGTTACTAACGTTTTATAATTATAAAACAAATGAATGGTAAACAGAAGATTAATATTAGATAAATATGGTATAAATTATTTAATAAAATCAAATGATCAAAGTAATGCCTCATTAAACTAGACAATTACAACATACTAAATATAATTTAAAACTTAAAGAGGGTAAAGGAAGAAGAACCTGTTTATAATCACCCTGTATATAATATCATCATATAACATATTTTATAATCAAATCTATATTTTAAAACCAGTTATTAAATTAATAAAACTTTTTAATAAGCACACTTTGTGAAAAATTACCATGTGGCTAAATGTCGTAATTATATGCAAGGCTGACCGTACTACTTTTAACTCCCGTCGAAGGCCATCATTTATATATTTTTCTTGATCCAAGAAGAGTTTGTTCGGACTATATAATGCACAAGGAACGTGTCATCCATCGATTTGTCCGGAGGACATATTGGCCGGGTAAACATAATGTCACCGATATCTCTTTAGGACATATTGAACTTTATAACAAAAAATAAAAAAATCCTAGAAATATTAAAAAACGAAATAAAAAAAATTAACGAAAAACCATGAAATAAATTCCATTTATCCAAAATTATTTATAATTTTGGGAACACAAAATTCTCGGTTACTCTATCACCATAGAAGATTTGACAGAATTTATGTAATGAGTAATTAATTAACATCCCAACAAAATTCCTTACCTTGCTATACCTTCGTGATGAAATAACTTCTAAAACATTCAGGAAAAAATTTCATTTCGATTTTAAATCAATAACTTTAAGAATGCATAACGAATATTAGAATCTTGATTGTAGTCTTTATTCCCTTTGTTCCATGATAAATAATTTTGAAACGACGAAAATCACATTATCATCGTCACATAACCAACAAAGCGGACTTTCCTATTTTATCACATAAAATTTGCTGATCACATAATAAATATGCCGTTGTGAGATTTACATATTATTACATTCCCAAAATTTGTCAACATATTTATTTTACTTTGAAATCTAACCAAATTTATTTTTATTCAAATTGAACTACAATTGGCAAACTTTTATATGTTGTAACTTTTAATTTAACGCGATTTTTTATTTTTTTTAATAATGACTGGCGGATTTAAAAACTTACATAATAAACATAATCTATACTTTGCAAGCTAATAACCATTTTTCAAATATATCTATAATAAGAAATATTTTCATGTTGCAAGATCATAAATAACACGAATTGTATGTGAACTAGAAGCATGAATTGATATTCATATCTATTTAAATAAACATCATATTTTTGAATCACTAGATCCTTAATAAATAAGTCCAAACCATTTTAGAATAACTTCTTGGATATGATTGTTAATAACTCCAGATGTAGTGATTCAATTCGAATGATCATTGTTTCAATATTAGGGCTTGTTTTCACCTTTAAAATGATACAAAATCATTCGTTAGCAT